GTCCCAAAACGGCCCAATAGGCCCACAATACACCAGAAGAACCATCGTGAGGCTGCAAGAGAAGACCAACAGGGGAGAAACCGCAAGGACAACAGGAACCCTTCCCAACATGATGGCGCCACAAAGACCCCCATGACCCCGAGAGGCCCTTAGACGCCCACAAGGGTGGCCAAACAACCCCTGGGTGCTTGGACAAAAACTCCAACAGGCCGTCCCTTGGGACTCCAAGACGCGCCCACCAAAATGCCGTCGCAACAAATACGGACGAAAAAGATGATAAACCAATAACAACTGTACGCAATCAACATGACGGGAAGTGGCAAACAACCCACCTTTACGTCGGCGGCTAGGCAGAGTGACTGCGCTGGCGAAAGGGCGTCTCGTGGGCGATCGGAATGCGAATTAAGCCACCATGCGCGGGGGAGGGAGGAAGGGCGCCCGGCGACTGCGCACTAGGCAAACAACACACACACACACACGCGCACGCACGCACACACACACACACACACACATACACACACGCACACACGTACACACATACATGAAAGCGAAAGCCGCACATGTCCTGTCCTGGTTGTTGTCGGCGGAAAAAGCGTAGACCTCTTGAATAACGGTGGCAACGATGACGCTGACGATGATGAAGGCCATGGTGCTGGTGCTGGTGAGGGTAATTGATTTGTTGGTATGATCATTTGCTTGCACTGGAGAACAATCGGGTGATCATACGCTGTTGAAGCCCCATGTGTTGAACTTACAGGACAACTATTGGTTTTGGACGGTTTTCGATGTGCGCGTGCTGAGACGCTCGCGTGTGGCCTGCGTTGCCTTACCTGAAAGATTTGGCGGGCGCGCGTTGGTTGTTCAACGTTTTCAACATGCACGCGTGAGTCTAGGATGGTCTCGTTTAACAGAAGGGCAAATCTTATTTTTCTCACGACTCCAGCGAGTGCGCGCAGCACTCTGGCAACTTATGGATAAGCAGCCAATGGTCATCAGCAGTCTTTGAATCGCCGCCCTGAAGATGTGAGAAAACAATGTGTGATCCGACGATGGTTGACATGCGCGCCGGCGGCTGCGCGCGCATGTGCCCCGCAAGGCACGATTGCGCCAACCGTTCCTTGGAACAACACTTCTTAGACCAACGCGCAACATGTTAGCTGACATGGATGAAAGCGGAAAAGTTCGGGCTCGGGATGGAGCTTAGAAACTAATTCCTCTTAGGGAAAAGAACAAACTACCCACGCAACACGCGCGAATGACCACCTCCCGCCCCCTGCAAACATCCCACCATACCACCTGCAACTGTTTGGGCAAAACTCCTCTGGCCATGATTTCAACACGCGCGCGGACGCGTAGAACTCAAACGCACAGAAAAGCCCGCCCTGTAGGTCACGAAATGGTTGTGGCTATGGTGACGACCACGACACCAACGAAGATGGTGATTACGGTGGAGATGACGTTGATGCTGATGGCGGTGACTGTGGTGAGGGGGCGAAGTGATGTCGACGAGGAAGATGGCGACTGTAATGAAGGATGCTTATTCTTGACGGGGGCGTTGGCGTTGGTGACGCTGACGGTGATGAGAACGGTCAGAAGATGAGGGCGACGAGGGTGTTCGCGCGCGCAGGACTTCGAATCATATAACATCGGTTCACCCTGAATTAACTTGTTGTCGTACGTTTGTGAACGTTTTTGCAATCGGCGTTTCGACATTGGGCCTAAGGGGGGAGAGGTCCTGGCTCCGGACTCTTGCTTAATGCGACTGCTTGCGACAGTGCGTCCCATTGGGGAGACTCCGCCTGCCCGAAGCAAGCCCCCCAAAAATATGCTCCAGGGGGGTGAGGATGCGAGTGCCCGCGCCGATCAGCAAAACAATGAATCCGCCGGCGCCCTTGCGGGGTCACCAGGCTGGGAGGGTGAAAATTGCAGCTCCCTGTTCCAGTTGCAGCTTCAAGTTTCTACGGTTACAGTCCTGCTCTCTGCTTCCTCACTTTTAATTGTTGCTGTCTACGCGAGGGGTGGGAGCCCCGAGCGGGATTTGTGACCACGCCCTGGGAACGTTCTCAGAATTATTGGGTGTGTGTGGGACATGTAAAAGTACATGATGTTCGCGCCCCCGAAGCCATAATCCTTAGCGAATTACGCCATAGTCGCGTCCCCGAAGGCATCAACCTTGTTAAATTACATGATACTCGCGTCCCCGAAGCCATCAACCTTTCAAATTACACAATATTCGCGTCCCATAAACCCTACAACCGCGTAGAGTATACAATGTTCACGTTCCCAGAGAAATACAACTCAGAAATTATGCAATACTCGAGTCCCCGAAACCATAACCCGTGGAACAATTATCCAATATTCGCGCCCCCGAAGCCATGATAAACCTTAGCGAATCAAGCAATAATCGCGCCCCCGCGGCCATAAACCCTTGCAAAGTATTCAAGATCGCGTCCCCAAGGCCATAAACCCTTGCAGATCTTCAGGTTTGCTGTGCAACCCGTACAATAAGATATCCGCCGTCGCGCGAATTCCCGACAAGGCTTCACGTCAGTGCCCAGACATCCCAACACAGCATTGGCAACTCCCAGTCTCCCATTCGAAGAGAGGGGGGCCGGCGGCAGGGGGCGAAGCTTTTACGGATAAGAAAACGCACGCTGTCGTTACATGTGTGCCGACATGGTGAGACAACCACTGGTTCAGGGAGGACTTCGCCGTGCGCGCGCAGACGATCGCGCGTGCAGCCCGTATGGTACTCTCTGACAGACCTCGGTGGGCGCGCGAAGGTGGTTGAACGCATTTGACATGCTCGCGCGAGTGGCGCTTCATTTGTCCGATTCCCCTCGCGCCCTCGCGCCATCGCTTCCTCCACAAGCGCGCCGTCCCCCCAGGAAAAGGGCAGCCGCTGTGGCCCTGACCGCGACGCGTGAAGCGCGACTCTCGTCGCGCCCCCGCGGGTGACCTAGGGAGTGGCTGCGGAACGCGCGCGCAAAAAACTCCAGCAACATCTGGGCGATGCCGGAAACCCTGAACCCAAAAACGTTTTCATCTCTTGGGGTCGCATTTTTTGGTTCCGCCGCCTTCCGCCGCCCTTCCTCCTGCTTCCGCCGGCGGAGGCGGCGTCGTTTTACTACCGCCGACGTCCCGCCGCCCCTCCGCCGCGGAAGAGACGACAACTCGTTCGATCATCGGAGGCCAGGCCCTGCTTGGAACACACATTTGGCTGACATGCTTGAAAACTGATAATCCCGATGTATGGCACTTCACAAAGTGCGCGCGTAATGCCAGCCTGTGATTCATACATCCGTGGGGGGCGCGCGTTTTAAACAATAGTTCCCGTGCTCGGGCGAATCGCGGGGTGGCGCCCGCCAGATTGAAAATCAACGGGGCGGCGCCGGTGACTAGCGCCGACGCCTGGCCACCAACGAGGGGCAAGGGGGGGGAGTGTTTGGAGGCAAGGGCGAACCAGGGCGCCCCTCTTTCTGCCGAACCGATGCGGGACTGCGGGCAAGGCGGGCTGGACGAAAGCTGGGCGCAGCAAAGGGGGGATTTGCCAAACAGCTCACGTCGCCGATTTTCCTAGCAGCCTTTCGTCGGACTTGAGCAAGGCGGGTAGTCCTCCTCCCCCCCTCAGTCGCCGTCGTCGCCGCCGTCCCCCGCCCTGCCTGCACCCGTTTCCAGCGGCCGCTCTTTTCGTCGACGACGACGACGACGGGACGAGGACGAGGACGACGGACGGCGGACGGCAGATGGCGCGACGGCGGCGACGACGACGACGCACTCCGGATGCCCCATGGGGGTGGGGCCGTGCAGGCCCGCTGTAGTCGACGACGACAACGACGACGACGACGACGAAGACGGAGACGACGACGACAAGGACGACGAATAAGAAGACGACGACGACGCCTGAGAGGGGGAACGACAATTCGCCTCGGATGTGCACGACCCTTATAACAACTTCTATACAAAAGGCAGTCGTTTTGAGGCTGTTATGCAGGGGGTGCACGATCCCCTCGGTGGTGCCAGGCACGACCCCTTGGCGCGCGTGATTAAAAATAACTGTCGCGCCCCACGGGGTCTATTTATCAGCCCAGGGGGGGGGCCCCTTTGTTAATCACAAGCTAACATTACTGCTGGGAGCCTGCCCGTGTAGGTAAACACTTGGTTGTGACAGCTTTCGAACAACCTGTCCTCAGCTTGTTGAAATCACGATTGGTTATTGATTCGGGCATGCGATTGCATGTGCCTGGCATCGCATTCGTTGCAAATGGGCTCTTGAACAAATCACGTCCTAGATCAACGTATGTGCACCGAACCGCATCTTGTTGCAAGAGATGGCGGGCAAGAGATGGTGGGGAGAGGGCTCGATATCCGTCAGCTCAGAAAAATGCTCTGTGGTATTTGGATTGAACGACTGGGAAGAAAGAAATTTGACACCGCAATGCGGAAGAAGTATACCGGTAACCCCAGCATCGGCGAGGGGGTAGAGTCGAATCTCTGTTCGGAGAAGGAACTGGCTGTGGGCAGCCGCGCATGACCATTTCCGCTGCTTGAGTGAACATCCCACCCTTCTGCTGCATGTTGGCCAAGCCCAACATTGGCGTCAAAAGATTCATCGGGACTTGCTTGCAAATCTCAGCAGGTGCAATTCCGCGCGGACCCTGTTCATGCAGAGCCATGACGCGGGCGGGCGAGTGATGATGGTGACGACGGCATCGGCGATGACCACAATGTTTATGACGATGGTGGTGACAATGATGACGTGGGCGAGAGCAACGATGATGACGAAGACGACGATGGTGAAACGCTAGTGATGGTGATGCACATGATGGTGATCATGATGATGACACTTATAGCGCTAGCGTTGATAATGGTGATCATAATGGTAATACTGGCGGCGGGGACGATAAGGAAATACGCGCGCAGAACTGTTTCCTCTTCCTTAAGGCAAGCAAGCTGCGAAATACTAGTTCGGAGAAACAGAACGGGATGGTCAGTAGAGGGGAGTTGATCGGATCAGCTGACGTAGCTAGTTTTCCCAGCCCCTCCTGGCGCCGGAGGACGGCGCCAATGCATAGAGGAAAGGCTTTCGGCGGCGGGGCCATGACCGGCATGCAGCAGATGTCGCATCCCCCCTCTCTTTTCCTATCCCCCCTTTCGTCCGACCCCATTGGCCACGAACGGATCCGAACGAACTCCAGCCAACGATGCCGCTAGCGGCAAGACGCTGCGCGCGCGTCGGCGCCAAGAAGCGCCGGTCGATCCTGCCACGCAGAATCAGGCGACCTGGCCGACAGAGGGATGCTCGTGTCAATGGAGTGGAGAAGGAAGCACGGCTGTACAAACCATCCCTGCGGGCTCAGTGTGGCCCTGGCCAGGGATGGGGGTCCTCGCTTTCCTCCCTTCTGCGCCCATTCCACGTTTTCGCCCCCTGTGCCCTGCCCCCTTCCCGGTGGAGGTCCTAAACGAGTGCCCTGGAACTTGAGAAGCTGCAAGGAATCGTACTACCGAGGCGTGTTGTTCTGTGCTCTTATGATGCAGAACTCACTGGTGCGATGCAGTCGCGCCGACGGCAATATGTTTTCAACGCGCATGCAAGGGACGATGTCATATTTGTAACGTTTGCAAGGCAACCAATGCAACGCACAGGCCAGAATGAGGAAGAATGCGCATGATGAGGACAAGAAGAACAACATAATGTGGAAACGGAAAAGGAGATTCCTTCTCCACGCGCATCTTCATTCATGATGTTCCCCCCACCCACCCCCTTATACATACACCTACCTCCCTTCGTTGAAGGAAGAGAAGATCGGGCGAACGCATCGGAAACACAGAGAATGGATAACGGTGATGATGGGAACGGTGCCGAGGACGAAGATTAGGATGATGATGTGGATGAGGAGGATATCGAAATATGCCACTTTGATCAAATGGCAACAACTCCCCAATCATAGTCGCAATTAGTGCCGCTCTCCTGCTCCTCCGTTCTCGACATATCCCCTCCCCTTCGGGAAACAGAAGGTCGCGTTTGCGATACTATCGGGGTGCACGCGAGACATATGGATGAAGAGGATGGTGAAGAAGCGGATGATTATGGCGGTGGTGATGATGATAGGCATGGTGATGAGGAGGAAGGAAACAGCGACAGGAGGTCGCCGATGGCATGGACGATGTGCGGCAACCGAGGGTGATGCACCACTCTTTGCATGTCTACATACTTCTCCATCACTACAAAACTAAAAAGATAGTAAACATGCGACGAAGAGATTATGGAACAAGAATCGGTCCCATCCTGCCCCTCCCCCTCCCCGTTGTAATTATTATCCTCCTCCATCCTCTCACGCGCGTCCTTTCCATCCTCTGCCCTCCTCTGCTCTCAAATTCCTTTCTTCCTATCCCCCATCACCACATCCGTTTCTTTTTCCCCGTCGTCGCACATTCACGTTGTCAGAGGAGGGGGGGGGGCGGTAGAGGAGCCAGATGAGGGTGAAATGTGAGAAGGAGATGGCTCAGCATATTCCGTGTTCTCCTTTAGCCATCTACGTTCCACCGTCCCCACCCACCGATAGTGGCAAAGAGCAAGAATATTTAATCACTGCATAAAAACTCCTCGTCACCAGAGGATGCGGAAAAGGGAAAGAAGAACAACGTCGACGAATATGATGGGGACGAGGGAGATGGTGGTGAAGAGTACAATCGACTTACTCCTGCATTCTCAACGTTATCCGCATGATTATCCTCACCCATCCTTTCAACGTCGAGCGTATTTTTTCCTTGTTGGAAATGGCCAAAAGAAGAGCCCAATGAGGATAACGGCAAGGAAGGAACAGGAAGATGATGACGATGATTGCGATGATGACCACGCTGTGAAAGAGGAGAGAGGGGGAGGAGGATAAGAAAGAGGTTGGAAATGATGCCGATCAACGAAGCAAGCAGGGAGAGAACGGGATGGGGGAGATCACGAGGGAGATGACACATGAGGAGGGAGATGAGGAAGACTAGGACGATGACAACGAGGGAGAGGAATGAGAGATCAAAGAACAAACGTGTAACGCGCCGGAGCACGACCCGACAGATGAACGGGAAGCGCGCTTAGATTCGAAGAGTCGCGCGATGGACATTGTTTACGGGACCAGAGGGGGAATCTTTATCAAGTAGGGGGGTCCAGGGGGGGAGTGGCGGCGGCGCTGCTCCTTTAAACTCACGTGGCGGATGACGGGAAGCGCGCTTAGACTCGAAGAGTCGCGCAATAGACGTTGCTCCTCGGTCCGGAGGAAACATATTTATCAAGTGGAGGGGTCCAGGGGAGGAGTGGTGGCGGGGTCGGGCCTTGATCGGGACTTGGCGGATGACGGGAAGCGCGCTTAGACTCGAAGAGTCGCGCGATGGACGTTGCTCATCGGCCCAGAAAGAAATCGCTGACCAAGGGTTTCTTTAAACACGTGTCCCGCGAACCTGGCGGATTCCCTAAATGAGCGTCTCGCTCGAAACATCTTCACAAAATCAAGATCTTTGAGGTTGACGGGAAGCGCGCTTAGACTCGAAGAGTCGCGCGATGGACGTTGCTCATCGGCCCAGAGGGAAAGTATTTATCAAGTGGAGGAGTCCAGGGGAGGAGTGTTGGCGGGGTCGGGCCTTGATCGGGACGTGGCGGATGACGGGAAGCGCGCTAAGACTCTTTAGAGTCGCGCGATGGACGTTGCTCCTCGGCCCTGAGGGGAAAACATTTATCAAGTGGGGGGGTCCAGGGGGGGAGTGGTGGCGGGGTCGCGCCGTGATTGGGACCTGGCGGATGACGGGAAGCGCGCTTAAACTCGAAGAGTCGCGCGATGGACGTGGCTTATCGGCCCAGAGGGAAAATATTTATCAAGTGGAGGGGTCCAGGGGAGGAGTGGTGGCGGGGTCGAGCCTCGACCGGGACGTGGCGGATGACGGGAAGCGCGCTAAGACTCGAAGAATCGCGCGATGGACGTCTGTGTGCCCAGAGGGATCTTTTTATCAATCGGGGGGGGGTCTGGGGGGGGAACGCGCGGCGCCGCCTCGGGGCGCAGGACGTGGCGGATTCCCAAAATGAGCGTTTCGCTCGAGACATCCTCACACAATCGTGAAGTTGGGGGTCGTATCTTAAGATGTAGTTTGCTGACAATGGGCGTTTCGCCCGACACATCCTCCTACAAATGGTGATGTTGAAATCGCTCGCCTACTTTTCGGTTCCTCGAACATGGGCGTTTCGCCCGAGGCATCCTCGAACAAATGAGATGCCGACAGAGCTCTTGTAAGGCATCTTTTCGGAGCGATCTCGGATGACCCCAAGATGGCCCAAGAAATGGAAATATTGAAAAACCCACGTGTGTTTAACATTTCCGTTGCAAAATCAGCGTTTCACTCGAGACATCCCTTACAAAATGCCTTCGAACGGGCCCTCGAAACCATCTGGTCTCCCCCTCCTCCTCCTCCTCCTCCTCCTCCTCCTCCTCCTCCTCTTCCTCCTGCTCCTCCTCCTCTTCCTCCTGCTCCTCCTCCTTCTCCTCCTCCTCCTTCTCCTCCTCTTCCTCCTCCTGTTCTTGCTTCTCCACCTCCTCCACCTTCTCCTCCTCCTCCTCTCGTTATTCCTCCTTCTCTTTCATCCTCCTCTGCCTCGTCTTCCTGCTCCTCCTCCTGCTCCTGTTCCTCCTCGTCCTCGTCCTCCTCCCCGTCCCCTCCTCACCCTCTGTTCCTGCTCTTGCTGCTGCTGCTGCTGGTCCTCTTCCTCCTCCTCCTCCTCCTCCTCCTCCTCCTCCTCTTCCGCCTCCTCCTCCTCCTCCTCCTCCTCCTTCCCCTCCTCCCACGATTGTCGTTTTCGCCGTCGTCCTTCTCATGCGGAGGAGTGAGGAGGATAACAAGGAAGATGCTTGAAAACACTCGGGGGGCGCGTGTCCATGCGTATCCTTTGTGAGCGTTCGGAGAGCTCGCCTATATTACATTTGATCACGATGAAGCTGCAAATTCTTGCGCAACTCTTCCCTTTCACGCGCTTCCCGCTCATGTCAGGAAAGGTGACGGGAAGCGCGCTAAGACTCGAAGAGTCGCGCGATGGACGTCTGCGTGCCCAGAGGGACCTTTTTTTATCAACTGGGGGAGGTCTGGGGCTGGGGGGAACGCGCGGCGCCGCCTCGGGGCGCGGGACGTGGCGGATGACGGGAAGCGCGCTAAGACTCGAAAAGTCGCGCGATGCACGTTCTCTCTGCCTGAGGCAGTATCAACTGGGGGGAGGGTTTGGGGGGGGGGGGGACGCGCGGGAGCGCCTCGGGGTGCAGGACGTGGCGGGTTCCCAAAATGAGCGCGTCGCTCGAAACATCCTCACAACATCATGAAGTCTGGGGTCGTATCTTAAGACGTAGTTTGCTAGCACAAGGCGTTTCGCTCAAGATATCCTCCAACAATGGTGATATTGAAATCGCTCGCCTAATGTCCGGTTCCTCGGAAATGGGCGTTTCCCCCGAGACATCCTCGAACAAATGAGGTGCCGACAGAGCTCTTGCAAGGCATCTTTTCGGAGCGATCTCGGATGACCCCCAAGATGGCCCAAGAAGCGAAAATATTGAACACACCCAACGTGCGTTTTACATTTTCATTGACACATCAGCGTTTCCCTCGAGACATCCCTTACACAATCCCTTCGAACGGGCCCTCGAAGCCATCTGGTCTCCTCCTCCTCCTCCTCCTCCTCCTCCTCCTCCTCTTCCTCTTGCTCCTCCTCCTCTTCCTCCTGCTCCTCCGCCTCTTCCTCCTTCTCCTTCTCCTTCTCCTCCTCCTCATCCTCCTCATCCTTCGCCTCCTCTTCCACCTCCTGTTCTTGCTCCTCCTCCTCCACCTTCTCCTCCTCCTCCTCTCGTGTTTCCCCCTCCTCTTTCCTCCTCCTCCGCCTCGTCTTCCTCCGCCTCGTCCTGCTCCTGTTCCTCCTCTTCCTCGTCCTCCTCCCCGTCCCCTCCTCACCCTCTGTTCCTGCTCTTGCTGCTGCTGCTGCTGCTGGTCCTCCTCCTCTTTATTATCCTCCTCCTCCTCCTCCTCCTCCTCCTCCTCCTCCTCCTCCTCCTCCTCCTCCTCCCCGCCCCCCTCCTCCTCCTTCTTTTTCTCATCCCCCCCCCCTCCTCCCACGAGTGTCGTTTCCGCCGTCGTCCTCCCCATGCGGAGGAGTAATGGGGATAACCAGGACGATGCTTCTAAACGTTCCGGGGGCGCGTGTCCATACGTATCCTTTGTGAGCGTTCGGAGAGCTCGCCTATATTAAATTTGATCACGATGATGCTGCAAGTTCTTGCGCAACTCTTCCCTTTCACGCGCGTCCCGTCCATGCCAGGAAAGGTTCCCAAAATGAGCGTCTCGTTCGAGGCATCCTCACACAATCGTGAAGTTGGGGGTCGTATCTCAAGACGTAGTTTGCCAAGCATG